ACTACCTCACAGTAGCAGCCAGAAAATTCCAGCCTTAACCACTGGAGAAAATAAAAAGATTTCATCCATGGCAGGCAGAGTAACAAAGATTCTCCCTCTTGTACCTGAGAGCAACACACTTGTGGAAGTTGGAGTGACGACCCACCAGTTTTAGCAACAGAGATGAGAGTGGCCCGCTATGAGTTGGATGTCACCAGTGATTGTCACAACTAAGTCTGGCTTCAAGAGCAACAGCAACTACTCATCTCAATTTTAGGCAGCGATGGCCAAAAATTCAAACATCTTCTGAGTCCTGATAAGGGCTGAAAGGGAAACATTTGAATGGGGGGAAGTAGGGATGAAGGGTGGAGTGAGACAAAGATGTTTTCCTATCATTGTTTTAACCATGTAATCTTTAACTGGCCTTTTGTGGTTTGAGAAAGTTCATGTTATCTGTGTACGTACAGGATGAATCTCAGCTGGCCTGTTGCACTCTTAAGCTTATTAACAGAGATGACCCTGGGCCAAACTAGAATGAAATCAGCTAATTAGTTCTATGCTAGGGTCTCATACCTATAGTAGTTTATTAGCTTCATTTTCATAAATTAGTGATGGTTTGTACCTGGTTTCTGCTGCGTTCTCTTGGTTTCTTATGTTGTTTATAGTCACATGCGACCTAATTTTGGTCACGTAACCAGGAAGCTATACAAGGCCATTCAATGAACTAGGCTGTCCTCTCCTGAGCCAAGGTTATCTTATGTGTATCTCGGTAATTTCTGACTCAGATACAAAGTTCATCCTAATCAACTGAGGAAGGATCCTGGAAATTGAGTCTGGAAGTCTTAGAGTTCCCAGATGTTTGCTTATGCTTTCTATTTCTGTAACTTTCATCTTTGTTAAGAGTCTAACCTGCAACATCTCAGGAGTCATTTCAGATACTCAAAACCTTTAGAATTGATGTATTATGTTAGCTTCGCATTCACTCTGGGATGTGCCATTAAAGATCTATGCATATTTTCAGTTCATATCTCAAACACCTTGGGTCTAACTGAAGTAGGTCAAATGACAACCCACAAACTCAGTCTTTGAGCAACCCAAACTCCTGATTCTCTAATACCCTCTTCCCCTCACATTCCCTTCTCCTCATTGCCCTTACACATAGAATGTCCTTATCATTTTTCTAACATTATTCCATGAATGCCTTCTATGGATTGTTTTAAGAAACCTTTCTAATTCACCATTAGCCATCTCCATTTAATAAAATTAGTTTCCGGTCCTCTGCAGCAATAGAAGCACACTTTCACAAGACTGCTATGACTCATCAGGTCCTATTAAATCCTTCTCTTTTTTTGATATACTATAAAATCTGTGAAGACAGCAGACCTAATTCCTTTCCAGTTCTCAGCATGGACTCTGATAAGAGTAGGCACTCATTAAACACACCATCAAAGAAATCAATGAATTAACAAATAGCTCATTAAAGAAAGAAATACTTGTAACTTTGAAGAGTTACTTAAATGTTGACTGGATGGTAACGTATCTCACAGGTGCATTTACATTCTTAATGTAACAGGTGGCTAAAACCTTAAGCTAAAGTAATGCTATTTTAATCATGACATGTCAGAAATCACCAGGCTGTATGTGAGTCAACTAAATCAGACATTTGCATATATTTTTAAGTGGGAGCCTCTGGGACATGCACAGGAGCTTTATTGTGACCAGAAATTCACTTTGGAACTTGGAAACAGCATTGAATATTCATCTGTTTAAACTAGGGCCCATTCTATCTCCAAGAAAACGTCACTATTACTTGGATTGAGGTCATTTCAAAGATGGCGCCAGTGTCCACTCTAGTCAGCTTGGAGTTCTGCCACTGAGGAGTCGCATGACCATGAGTCAGGATGTTTGTGAAAAGCCTTCATTTCCTTATTTGTAAACTAAGAGGTAGAATTCTATCACCTCTAGATTTCCCTTCCATTAAGAATTTTCTATGACCATGAATAAATCAATCAACTGAAGATACTTGACTGGAAGGTAAGAAATTTGTGTGAAGTTGTTGAGGTCAATCTTATTTCACTATCCTAGTAAATGTGAAGAAGGGAGTTCTGGCATGGAGGATTCACTAATCACGTTAGAACTGGGGGAAAAAATGCTGTTTTGTTATTGATTTGTTCAAAACAGTTATTATACCAAATTTGCTTCATTTTGGAATATATTTCACCAATTGACTGTGGTATTCTTCGTGCTATCATCTACCTGTTTAATTGCCTACATGAGTGGGGAAGAAACCATATGGGAAATTATGACCTTCATGAAGTGTTGAGGAAGTAGGCAGGTGACTCTGTCTCCATCTCTTTGGAAGACAAAAGTACTATCATGTATGTAAGTAAGCTGAATATCCTCCAAAGCAAATAAGTTGATTTTGAAAGGTAATTCCCATGGACTGTGGGCATCATGAGAAGAATTTGAATGGTTGTCAAGAGATCCTACAACAAATACTTACTCTGGGGAATTCTAATCAAAGACCTAATTGGGTGTTCAAGTACTGAGTCTTGGTCTTAGGGCTAATTGGATTTATGGGTGCTGAGTTGAATCAAAGAATATCACAATACGATGATGCCTTAAGCTCTGAAATCTCACAAGGGAATGATTCATAAAAGCAGAATACCAGGTGTCATTAAGTATGTTGTTTCCATAGACAGGGAAATTCACATTAACTTGATTGATTTTGTTTTTTCTGGGAAAGATCTCCATGGATGAGCGGTGCCATATGCTAGTGGGAAGCTCTGTGGCCATGGTGATGGGTAAGGGAGTTGTCAGTCTAATTTGAATATTTAGTAGCAGCTGAGCCAGATGCAGTAAGATGATAGTGCAGGGCGCCTTACCCCATACTCTGCTTTTTAGAGTTTTTAAAAATAATTCCATTTCATTAACTCTTTTTCTAATGAATCTACTCTGTCTTTAGGAAGGCAATATTTCAATTCTATTTCTGTCCAGTGTAATAGTACAGATCTTTCAAAATCAACATTTTATATTGTCTTTCTTAGTTATTTTTTTAACTAAATTACATCTTTACTTTCAGATTATGTGATCCCAATTTCCTTTTATTTCCAAGATTTTGGGGGAAAGTAGGAGGGGCTGTGGACATGGACTGAGGCATCTTAATGTTATTCCTATAAACGGCCTTCAAAACATAAGATAAAGATATCTACATAAACACTTGTATGGGTTCATAAGCAAATCTTAAGTTCAGTGATATTCCTTTTGTTCTTAAATGTTATTTTTGGTTCTGCAAATCAATTAACCAACAATAAGGATTTGGGAAGCAAACTGTTATGAGAGATTCTGAGTTGGAAACAACTTAATAATTAGGCTATGTGAAACTTACACAGGAAAAGGAGATAATTTAACATGGTCAGGATATTGATGTAATTTAAAGCAGGGAGAAAACAGAATTTGCAGACAGGAAGTCAACACAGCTCATCTCTTTCTATGTGGACGTGCTGCCACCTGTTGGTCACTCCTTGTCATTGGCCCGGTTTCAAAGGCTGCTTCACAAGTGGGTTTCACAGCTTGTGTTTCTTAGAAGCAGAACCTGAGATAAAGATTCAAGTTTGCTCAACTGGGAGGTGAAGAATTATAAGCATGAGAAAAAAAATGCAGGAGAAAGAAGGTGGCCAGTAAAAGGTAGCCACAGCTGTGGGCAACTGGAGATTAATATAGTCAAGTTTAGCCTGGGAGGCTGTATAAAATATAATGAAAAGATACCCCACCTGACGGCATTTATACACCAATTCTCATCATTCTGACATTGAAAGCATCTTTTGGGGGTTGCTAATTATTCAGCACTTTTGGACAACCACATGGGTGGCAGCAAATGCCTGCAGGCTAAGAAGTCCAGCGTCCATCAGTCTTAAATTTGCAGTCAGTCTCTGAGTTAACTTTGAGGGGGTTACTTCAATGTACATCCCTTTGATCTTACACCAATGCATTCTAGCTTCTGGGGACCAAGCACAGTGTAAGATGTCCCTGGAAACCAGTGTCCTAATTGTGGGTACTGCCAGGGATATCCTAGCACTATTCCCAAACCATTACCCTAACACTGTTAATGCTGTTTATGAGGCCATTTCAGTATTCAGTCAGTCCATAGATCCCAGATTGTGTGGCATAAAGGAGATCATCTTGGTCACATGGTCATGTTCTGGTGCTTCTTTCTTACCCTCCCTCTGAAATGATGTTAGGTGAAATCCCATAATGATAAATTAGATATTTTGTGAGATTTCCAGTTAAAATGATAACTAAAGCATTATAGGCTGGGAGGGCAGTTTATATCTGAAAGTTTTGTTAACCTCAGTAGATGAAAACACTGTTTCCTCCAATGTGTAAAATATACGATAAAGTGAACTTAACATGATGTGGCTCTTTGCTCTCTCAAAGGATGATACCAAATCAATGACACATAATCAATCTCTTGTATTGATAAAATGAACATTTAGCATCAACAGAATCAGCAATGCTGCTCAATTAGCCTTGGTGAGATTGAGCCCATGCTACTGGGTTTATGCATGACCTTCATCCCTGACACCATGGTTACTTTTTTCGTGGATTCATTGTGATATTATTGAAGTGATGGAGGACAAAGACAGGATGTCATCAATTGGCTGAGTCATCCTGTCTACATGCTGAGGACTTCAGCAGGGAGTGATATCAGTTGACACTGAATATGGGACAGAAAGATTTGCATGTATTATACATGCATGCACAGTTCTATTTGCATGTTTGTCATCCAGATATTTTTGTCTCTCATCTTCTAATTCTGCTTCTTCCAGGTACCTGACCAAACACCCAAGCAATTTGTAACGTCTCAGAAGGTTTAGTATATTTTTAGCTTAGACCACTTCCTATTCCACAGCACAATGAATGTTTGCTTAGTCAAATTTGCTTTACAGAGTAGTGTTTGAGAGCAGATGAGTTAAAATATCCTAGGGCAAGACTATTAATTCTGATTCCATGTTTTCCAGGTGAACACTGAATGCAGATCTTGTAGCAGAGACTATAAGTAAATGGAAAAGGAAAGAATACCTCCAGACTCATTTTACAAGGCCAGTGCAATATTTGAATCAGACAAGGACCCTACAAGAAAAGACATTTTTTTGGTCAACAAACTTGATGAATACAAACTCTCAATAAAATACTAGCAAGCCAAATTCATCAGCAAACCCAAAGGATCATCCACATCAATTAAGTGGGATTTATATTTGGAAAGTGAGGATGGTTAAACAAGCATGGATCTATTAATGGAATACACCATATTAATAAAATGAAAGTCAACAAAATCATATGATTATCACAAAGGAAGCGGAGAAGATATCTGACAGAATTCAATGTCCCCTTTTATGGTAAAACTCTCAAAAATTAGTTACGAAAAAAACATAGGAATAGGGCAAGTTGCTTTTCTGGCTGCTTTGTGGCGAGAAACCAAGAAAGTAGACAGGCAGCTTCTGAGCAAGGTGGGTGAATTGGAAAAAAGGGGGGAGGACTTTACTGTAATTTAATATTGGACACTCAAAGCAGATTAGGGACTCAGGAGGTTGGATATAATAAAATAAGAAATCTCCAGTGCCACAGCTGCTGCCATGGCTGGAGGCACCACAGTGGTCCCCCCTTGAGCACAGTGGAGGGGTAAGGAAATTAAAGGCACCTGCATTTCTAGGAGGACTGAGGCTGTGTCTGGGTACAGAGAGTTTAGAGATCAAAGACTCTGCCTGACCAAACTCAAAGACATGCTGTACAACAGCCTCGTGGGAAAGAAGCTGCATCTCTCCTCTTGGCACGTGGCGACAGCGGAAGGAACCATTTTGCAGCTGCAGCATGGGGACTGACACCCGAGGGAGCTGAGTCCTAGTTGGAAATATGGGCTTGGCCAACCCACACTGCACGGCCAGGAGAAAATCAGACATGGAGAGAGGTTTGCACAGGAGTCACCTGGTCACGGAAATGCACCTGGCTCTTCCCCTCCCCTCCCATCTGGCCTTTTTTAGGACTGGCTGGGAGGGACACACCTGGTCAGGAATTCCAACAGGTTTGGAGACTGAACCTGAGACCAGGAAACACGTCTGCAGGTGACGGAGTAGACTAAGAATTGGCTCCTCCACCACAGCAGTGAAACCCGGGGAGGAGGGGGAGGGGGGTTTGGGGGGAGGTGGGGTGAGGGGTGGGGTGAGGTGAGGGGGGGTGGGGTCCTGGGGTTCATGCAGTCTTCCAGCATGGACCGGTGGTTGCAGAGCCCTGGAGGGGCACTCATGTAAAATCTCCACACCAACAGGCATTCAGCAAAGAGCCTGAGGCCTACCCAAGCCTAACCCCACCTCCAGGAGTTCCACCTATGGGGTTACCTCTCACCCTAGCAAACCCACCCTCAGGGTGGAGAGAGCATCATATTGCCGACAACTTCACCAAACACTACTGAGAAGGGAAGCTGAGAACCTTTTGAACGCCAACTGAACAAATTTTTAAACTTTTCATCATTTTCTTTCCCTTTTCCCTTTTCTTTGCTTCGTTGTGAACTTAACGGGTCATGAACATTTATACATATTCATGTTTAATTTTTTTATTTCTAGTATTTTTGAAACCAGATAGTTTTCATGGTTCAATTTTTTGAGGACTAGGAAGATTGATTAGTATATTTCAGTTTTGTTTGGTATTTTTTAATTAAAAAAATTTAACTTTATATAGTTTTTCTTTCACTTGTTTCTCTTGATTCTTTCTCTTTCCTTCTGCTAACAGCCAATCTCTATTGTTCTCTCTTTCACTCTTCCTTTATTTTTTTTTTTACTTTTGTCCTCTCTCCTCTTCCGTCATAATCATCACATCACTCCTGTTCTCTCCCTGTCCACCATTCAAAGTTGTAAACCATTTTACAAACTTACTGTTTTTATTGTAGCAAACTGATCATGTCATTTCTGTTTATTGTGACAACATTGTAGATGTCATATCAGGAAATAATTGATTTAATGCTATATATTGTTTGCATTTGTTGTTGTTATTATTTGGTTCCCTCTAGAGGGTGAGGTACTGGAAACCTTCAAGGACTCTATGAGTCTACAAGGAAGAAACTTTATACCTACACTGTTAGATGGATAGAAACACAAACAATATGAAAAAGCAAGGAAAAAAATTACCCCATACAAACCAAGATACTCCGATAATAGAATCCATCACCATCACAATGGAAGAAATGTCAGAGAAGGAGTTTGGAATGTATATAGTTAGATTAACCTGTGAGATAAAGGATGATGTAAGGAGTGATGTCAGAAGGAAAATATAGGAGGGAACCCTTCCAAACTCATTCTATGAAGCTAGTATCACCCTGATACCCAAACTGGACAAAGATACATCAAGAAAATAAGATTTCAGGCCAATATTCCTGATGAACATATAAGCAAATATTCTTAATAAAACACTGACAAATCCTATATAAAAACATTGAAAAATAGTGCACCATGATCAAGTGGGGTTCATTCCAGGGATGCAAGTTTGGTTCAACATATGGAAATCAATAAATGTAATTCATCACATCAATAGACTTAAATACAAGAATCACATCATTATCTCAATAGATGCAGAAAATAAAACAATTTGACAAAATATAGCATTCATTCATCTCAAAATAGTAGAAAAACTAGGGATAGTGGAATCAAACCTCAACATTATAAAAACTATCTATGCTAAAACCAAGGCCAAGATCATTCTAAACTGAGAAAAATTGAAAACATTCCCTCTAAAAAATGGATCAAGATAGGGATGTCCTCTTTCACCACTTCTATTCAACATAGTTCTGGAAACTCTATGCAGAGCAATTAGATAAAAGAGGTGAAAAGGATATGAATAAGAAAAGAAGAAATCAAACTACCCCTATTTACCAATGACATGATTCTATATTTAGAAGACCCCCAAAACTCCACTAGAAAATTTCCAGAACTCATAAATAAATAAAAAACACCCATAAATCAATTGCATTACTATACATCTGTGAGCAATCAACTGACAGAGAAATTAGGAAAACTATCCATTTACAAAAATCTAAAAAATAAATTTGGGAATCAATCTAATAAAAGAGGTGAAACATCTCTAAAATGAAAACTAGAGAATTCTAATAAAAGAAATTGAAGAGGACCTTAAAAGATGGAAAGATCTTCCATGTTCTTGGATAGACAGAATTAGTATTGTCAAAATGGCCATACTACCAAAAGCACTATGCAGATTTAATGCAATTTATATTGCTGTTCTAGTGATGTTCTTCATAGAAATAGAAAAAGCAGTTGTGAAATTCATTTGGAAAAATAAGAGGCCAGAATAGTTACAGAGCTGTAGTACCAAAAATGGCATGGTGTTGGCATCAAAACAGACATAGAAATCAATAATCGAGAATAAAAGACACAGAGACAAACCCACATAAATACAGTTATCTCACACTAGACAAGGCACCATAAACATACATTGGAGAAATGATAGCATCTTCAACAAATGGAGCTGTGAGAACTGGAAATCCATATGTAACAAAATGAAATTAGATTCTATCTCTCCCCTGTACAAAACTCAAAGTGGATCAAGGACTTAATGCATTAGACCAGAGACCCTGTGCCTACTAGAAGAAGTAGGCCCAACTTTCCTTCATGTTGGAACCAAATTCCTCAACAAGATGCTTAAAGCACAAAAATAAGATCATGAATCAATAAATGGGATGGAATCAAACTAAAAATCTTCTTCACAGGAAAGGAAACAATCAAGAACATTAAGAGAGAGCCTACAGAATGGGAGAAAATCTTTGCCACTTACACATCAAATACAGCATTAATCTCTAGGATATATAAAGAACTCAAAATACTTATCACCAAAAAACAAATAACCCAATCAATAAATGGGCAATGGAACTGAACAAGTACTTTACAGAAAAAGAAATACAATCAGTCAACATATATATGAAAAAAAAATGCTCCACATCAATAGCAATTAGAGAAATGCAAATTAAAACTACACTGAGATTTCATCCCACTCCAGTCAGAGTGGTAATTATCAAGAATACATATAACAATACATTGTGGTGAGGATGTGGGGAAAAGGGTACATTCATATATTGCTGGTGGGACTGCAAAATTGGTGCAAGCACTCTGGAAAGCAGTATGGAGATTCCTCAGAAAAATTGGAATGGAACCAGCATTTGACCTAGTTATCCCACTCCTTGGCATATACTCAGAGGACTTTAAATCAGCATTATAGAGTGATGTGCCCACATCAATGTTTATAGCAGCTCAATTCACAATAGCTAAGTTATGGAACCAGCCTAGGTTCTCTTCAACAGATGAATGGATAAAGAAAATGTGGTACACATATACACTAGAATATTACTCAGCCATAAAAAAGAATGAAATTATGGCTTTTGCTGGTAAATGGATGAAACTGAAGACTATTATGCTAAGTGAAATAAGCCAATTCCAAAATACTGAAAGCCAAATGTTCGCTCTGCTATGTGGATGCTGACTCATAATAGGCATCAGGGAGGGAGGAGTGGAGGTTCACCTGATTAGATTGGGGTGGGGAGCTGGGAGAAAGGGAGGAGGACTGTGAAAGACACTTGAATGAATTGGACATAACTTTCCTATATCATATATAAATACATGGCCAGTATTACTGTATATTATGACAACCACAGAAATGGTAAGTTATGCTCCATGTACATGTGACATATAAAATACATTCTATTATCATGAATAACTAAAAAGAACAAATAAATTAAAGAAAAAAGAAATGTACCCCAACATAATGGAGGCCATAGATGAGAAACCCTAAGATAACGTCATAAATAATGGAGAAAAATTGAAAGTTTTCCTCAAAAATCAGGAGCAAGATAGGGATGTTCATTCTCTCCACTTCTATTCAGCATAGTACTAGAAGTCCTAGCTAGAGCAATTAGGCAAGAAAAAAGAAATAAAAATACATTCAGTTTAGAAAGGAAGAAGTAAATTGGTATCTGTTTACTGACAATATGACCTTATATGTAGGAAACAATAAAGAATACATACACACATGATGGAATTAATAAACAAATTCCAAAGAATCAAAGTACTGAGGACTGAAATAGAACAAATTATAATCAGTGTATGTATGATTATGTCAACTATAAACTATCTGAAGAAGAAATTAATGAAATTATCTCATTTATAATAGTGTCAAAAAATAAAATAGGAGTAAATTTAACCGAGAGGATGAAAAATCTCTCTATTGAAAAATTATAAACCATTGATGGAAAAAATTGAAGAAAACACAAGGTAATAGAGAT